GAGGCAAAACGCAAACTCAAAACAGCTTTAATGCTAAACTCAAAAGGGTAACAAAACTAGGAATACAAAATAAGCTTACACAGCAAGATGAGGGTAAATCACGACACAGCCAGATGAAAACACAGGGCTTAAATACACAGAGGGAGCAATCAGGGAATGAGTAACAGGAGGGAAACACAGCTGGGGCAAATCAGGCCTAACGAAACAGGGGAAGCAAAACCAGATACATTAACATAAGACATGGACCTTCAAAGCAAAACAGGAAACATAACACAGACTGAACAAAAGACACAGACTCACATGCAGGCACTACAGAGGGAACAGAGACGTGGGACCAGGGCAGACACAGACACGGAGATATAGCTGACAGGGGAGACAGCAACTAAGGATTACACAGAGACATAAACCATAAGACAGAACTCTAACAAAGAAACCAAAGACTGGAAATGATAAATAATATAATAAACTCAAAAACCCTGGGTCAACGACCCAGGCATCCTAACAGGCTGCTCTGCATCCAGTGCACTCTTATATACGCCATATATAACCAGCGAGGAGTCTTTTTTTCTATGAGTAAATATTTACAATTAGTTGAAAAGAAATTGGCCAAAACCAATTTTACGAATTTAGGCATTTAACAGAAATGGTGTTGTTTGTCTATTACTACTAAAGCATGCAACTCTGGAGCAGAAATTGTCGCCTCTTTGTCTCATTGTAGGTTTTTTCCTGATTTTTTTTAGCTGGATACGTAGCCTCTTAAATATCACTTTGTCAGTAAATATTTAAGTTGTTTATAAAATATACTGCATGTTAAACAAACCCAAAGAGTAAAACTGCCCTTACATGACAGTGGCTTGTCTTTTTGCACTTTATCTGCATGTAACCTGATTGAAATTACACATAATCCTCCTACTTTCAGTTTTATTGAATGTGGTGGGGACTTTAGTTTGAAAGAGGTAGAAAACAAGGTAGATCAACTGACAGTATGAAAAAAAAACATCGGGAAAAAGAAACTTTCTCAGTCTGACAGATGACAGCCTGTGAATGAAAATATGGCAGCTGAGAGTCTGTCTGCCAAATTTCTCCAGGATGAGGGGATGTGACACTTAATAACAGCCTTTCTTATCGTACACGTATCATAGAGACACAGAGTGTTTCACGTGTGCTTCCTTCAACGTTCAGTTTGCACAGATTTAAAAGGAGGCCCAAACTAAAATGAACTACCTTCACCTTCATTTCTTCCACTTTTTTTAATGAGCTGCTCTGAGCTGTACCGTTTCGTAGAACCTCCTATTACTCATTCGTCGCCCGCCCCAATCATTACCAGCAATATTCGAAAGTCCACTGGTTTTCAGTGTAAGCTGTGCCACTTTGAAGTTGAGTGGGGATCCTTTGCAGCGTTGACAGGCAACTAATTAAATCTGATCTGGAGTTCTCGTTTGATTCGCCGTTACTGTTAACCACAGTCTCCAGGGAAGATGAAGAAAACTAACGTTAAAGATATCGTTCTTTAGCTCTTTAGTGTCGATGGGGTCTTCGCGATGAAGCTGGCTGTATGTCTTAAATAGGCGTATAAAGAGGATCGAGTCAAACAGATAGACAACCTGTGAATCTGAAGCTGTAAGCTGTTAAACTGGTGCATTAACCTCCTGCCTCCTAAATCTCTCTTAAGAATGAGCTGTTAACAATGCTCAATTTTCCTTCTGTTAGTTAAAGAATAAAAATATTGTGTATTTTAAGTACAAACATGGTGCACGTTTGAACCCATGAAGCACATTTAATGAATATATTCTCTTTAAGAGCCTTTAAAATCTCATTCGACTGATCCTTAAAATGCTCTGCTACTCTGTTTGAGGACTCAAAGTGCTTTCTTACTACAAGCCTCATTCACCCACTCACAGTGCATTTTTTCTATGCCTAAGCATGTTTAACTTAACGTTTGCACACTCAGACTCCAGTAGATATATTGGAGGCAGCTTGGGGTTCAGTGTCTTTCCTGAGTACACTTTGACATGCAGACTGCTGCAGGTACTCGAACGACAACCTTCTAATTCGTAGACGTTACCCTCTACCCACTGAACACATGTACAGTTTATTGTATATCAGCATAACTTTACACATACAGCGAGCATAACGCCCAAGTGCGTATTTATAATACAAAGGCTTAGGCTTAACTTTCCATTAAGAAATGTTGAACTTTCCGTGTCAATTTGGTGTCCTGTGAGGTTACAGTGAAAAGCTCTGCATAAAACAATCCATGCAAATCCAGCATCTTGTTGCCCCATATGCACCAATCCATAGGTCAATGATACCTTGACTGCATATTTGCAGATCCAAAACAGTTTTACATTCATCAAAATGCAACATTTGTCCCCATTGGCGAATGAAGGAGAAATTGATATCCACAGTAACAAGTCTGAACAAATGGTCTGTTTCATGAATGTGAATGAACGGAAATCAAATTTGTTCTGTAACTGTGAAATGAGAGATGTTGTTTTCTTTTCTCTTAAAATTAAACAGCACTGCTTTGCAGACTGAACGAAGAGAAGATTAGGCTAATATTTATACACCAAACACTTTGTCTTACACAGGAAGGCATTAATAATCAACAGTCTGAAACAGTCCTCCTAAGATACAATAAATAGCATTTGTCTTGAAAGTCAAACTAAGTTTTCCTTTCGTCCAATTCATTCCTACATTGATTGTGGGCCCTTTTTAAGATGCTTTGGACCGCATTTTTTCCATGTGTGCTGTAGATGCTTTAAAGGGTAATGCACATATATTAAAGGCAATGAGAATATGAGAGTCATGGGAATATGATTACTAGGAGTACTCTTTTAATATTGCTTCATATTCTACTGTTAATTAGAGCTGTTATTAAAAGAAAAGTAGTCAGTCTCTCACTTGGTTGTGGAAGATTTTGGCCCACTCTTCTTTCATTCATTGAGGTTTGCAGGCAACACAACACAGCTTTAAAGTCAGGTTGAAGTCTCGACTTTGACTGGTCCAGTAAACACTTCAGTAATTCTGTTGTAGATTTGCTGCTATGCTTCGGATCATTGCCCTTTTGCAAGACCAAGTTTCATCTGTCAGACACAAGGTTTCATGTTTGAAGAGAAAACTTTGGTATACAGAGGAGTTCATGGTCAGCACAATGGCCACAAGGTACCCAGGTCCTGTGGCTGTAACACAAACATAGATGATCAATTGTCCACCACCGTTCTTGACAGTTGGTATGAGGGTTTAGTGCTGATATGCTGTGTTGGTTTTCCCCAGACATCTCTACTGGTTGATTGATTCAATTCATCCATCCATTCGCTTCCGTTTATCCTTTTCAGGGTCGCGGGGGGCACTGGAGCCTATCCCAGCTGTCATAGGGCAAGAGACGGGGTACACCCTGGACAGGTCGCCAGTCTGTCGCAGGGCCAACACACAGGGACAGACAACCATTCGCACTCACATTCACTCGCACATTCACACCTAATGGCAATTTGGATTATCCAATTAACCTATCCCCACAAGCTGCATGTCTTTGGACGGTGGGAGGAAGCCGGAGTACCCGGAGAGAACCCACGCAAACACGGGGAGAACATGCAAACTCCACACAGAAAGACCCCGGCCTGATGGTGGAATTGAACTCAGGACCTTCTTGCTGTGCGGCAACAGTGCTAACCACCGTGCCACCGTGCTGCCTTGATTCAATTCAGTTCAGTTAAATTCCATTTTATTAATGTAGCGCCAAGGCAACAGTTGCTTCAACGTGCACATTGTTCCAGAAATCTTGTTCAGGATGTATGTTTGCACACCTAAGCTGTAGTGCCATGTTCTTTTTAACCTCCTAAGACCCGAACTCTTCCACGACATGGATTTTTAATTTCTCTTTGATATTTGGGCTGATTGGGACCTGATGAATGTAAAAACAAAGAATTACCAGATTTTATTTTTTACCTTGTTTTTTAAGAAAAATGAGAGCCACATATGAGGATATTCATTTAAACTTTTGATAGAACCATAGCAGTATAATGTCCTCGTAAGTGGATATCAGGCCCATGTAGAGCAAAATTGAGTATTTTGGTCTAAATAACCCAAAATGTGATGTCCACATATGTGGACGCCAGGTCCTAGGAGGTTAAAGAGAAGATGCTTTCAACTGGCAACCTTTGTGGAAAGGTATGCCTGGTAATGTATACACGAGGCCTGTTGAGTCTGAGATGTAGCTCTTTGGTGATTCAAGTCATTCGAGTTTCCATACATCAAGCCTAGATAGCGCAGCATGAGACTCTTAGTCCGATAGTTCGAGCCGCACGTTGGGCATTGGTGTTTAAAGGTCTGACGATGTGGTGAATATCCAAGGTGGTGTCAATGAATGCTGCAGTCCAGCAAACTGTAAGGGTGTGTTAAGTTTTTCACAAGGGTCCAGTGAAAACCTTCACATGAATGTATATCCTATAATAATAGGCCACGAGGTTTGCTATGTGACTTGTGTCAATTCTGCATAAGCATTAGATTATTTAGTACTGCATTAAAATATAAAATTATGCATTTGTATTATAGGCATCTTTTTTAAAAGTGAACAAACCGCAAACAAACCCTCATACCCGTGTGTTTGTGTTTCTGTGTGAAAGACATATTTGGTATTCTTCACCGGTAACCAAATCAATTAAATGCACATGTGCACCCCCAAAGAATTTAAGACTGCAGGTGCAACAAAGAGAATTTAAGTGTTTGATCTTTTCCCCGCATCGGAGGACGCCTTCAGGCTCACACGCAAACAGGTTTTCTCTACAAACATATTTAATGCTCCATCTCACAACGTCCACCTACACAAGAAAACGAATGCACACACCTACACGCATGTCTCCTCAACACCCAGCATGTTAAATTTGGTTGTCAGTGAAGCCCAAAAGGCATGCAGCTTTTTCTACCCTTTCAGTGTGTTGCTTTACTTTTTGCACCAAATAGTGACACCCCTTTCTTCAAACTGACTTCCGCAGATGCAGAGAGAGAGTGTCAAGGACACATCAGCAACTTCCAAGACGCCTGACGCAAGTCAAAAGGAGGACAGGTGCTTCTGAAGAGCCGAACTCTGAGGTGCAGTAAATATACTTCAAGGTTCTTGAAAGGTCCCTGGATGACAGGCAGATCTCTGCCAGAACATGTGTATGTGCTAGATGTGTGTGTGTGTGTGTGTGTGTGTGTGTGTGTGTGTGTGTGTGTGTGTGTGTGTGTGCGTGCGTGCGTGCGTGCGTGCGTGCGTGCGTGCGTGTGTGTGTGGTATTTAAAAAAAACAATCAAACAGCATTGTGCGTTCAGTGTTTCTCAGTTTAGAGGTCTCTAATGAACATTATTTCTCACAAGGCCTAGACATTTGGTGGCATCGCGCCGTGGCCCTACAGAAGTGTCGAGTTGAGTGGAACCACTAGAAATAATTCAGTGTACAGTCTGTGTGTTTGCATGTCCCAGTGGGACTGGAGTGTGTACGTTCAAGAGTGAACCTGCTGCGTTATAACAGGCTGCAGGATTAACCCACCTGACAGGCATTTGATCAGGTTTGTGGCCGTAGCCAAGTGAAATCAAGGGAATGTGTGACGCTCCATTAATCCATGTATTGGATCACACTGTGTATTTAGTCTGATGGTTTTTTTCTGTCACCAGTGTCACCATATATTGCAGCCAACTGGGCAGTAGCAGAAAATGAAATGATCATAAGGACTTATTGAAAACAAAGGTTAAAATTAGAGTTCATTCTGTTTTTTATAAATATACACTGGACAGTGCCGGCAACATATTTGATTCAGCTTCATGTCTCTTGTACTTCCAGTTGAGTGAGCATCCAATTCTTTCTGTGATAAAGGATCAAATCAACCATTTTACAATACGTTTACCAGACAACGACTAGCCTAGTTCCAGGCTCCTTTTTCTTTTTTTTTTCTTCTTTCAGCTGCTCTTCTCTATCTTCAAAATCCTTTGTCCAATATATCCACTATCTGTCCTCTACACATGTCCAAACCACATTAGCCTCTCTAACTTTGGCTCCAAACTGCTCCACCTGAGCAGTACCTCTGATGTACTCATTTCTAATCTGGTGAAAATCCTAGCATTTCCTCTTCTACTTTTATTCATTTATGGGTTTTTTTTAATCCTGTCCTGTCTGGCAGCTTTTGCAATCAGAATTATGATCTGAATACAGTGTTGTGCCAAATACATTTTGCTTTTCCAGGACCAGCTCTACAAATTCTTTGCAGGCTCCTCTTGTTCGGGGTTTATCTGTTTATTTCTTCATTTCTATTTGTGTTATTTCAGTGACTACATTATGGTGGTGTGTGTGTGTGTGTGTGTGTGTGTGGGGGGGGGGGGGGGGGGGTAATAAAGGGATAGAGAACAAATAGAAATTTAAAACATATTGCTAACTGCTGCACCTGGAATGAAAAACAAACAAACAGCACTTACAACACAAAAACTACAAAATGCACAGGTATATAAATCAACAACCATCTTGTGGGGTCTTTGTGTGTGAGTGTGAAAGAGAGAGAGAGTGTCAAGTGTGAGTGCGTGTGTCACAAAATATACTTTCAAATGAGCGTGATGCCTGAATAACAGCCTCTAGGAGCCAGAGCCTGGCCCCACACCCCGGCGCCCTAGACAGCACCCACCCCAGTCCCCACCGCCACTACCTGAGGCAGAGACCCTGTTCCTCCAAAACGGCAATCGCAGTTTTCCATCCCCCAGGAAGCCGCCAGACCCCAGTAGTCCCAGAGAACACGTTCATCCACCTGCAAGGCATACAGGCAAACGAGACTACAGCTGATCACCCTCACTAAGTAATGTAATCGATCAGTGGGAACCAGAGAGAAACAAATTTATCCATTTGGGTTTTTTGAGGAGGAAGACATTCTCTCCAAACTGAAGTAAATTTCTGTATTGATTAGTACATACTTTTTTTTTTTGGATTTCCGGTGCATGAGGATAGTCTTCTTAGCGATGCATTAGGAAGTGAGTATAAGTGATGTAAATACTTCTATATCTACTTCATTATGTCACCTAAGATGCACAGCTTGGGAGAGGTTGGGATATAACATCTGACACAAAAAACTAAGTGGTTAACTTTAGGCATCACCCACTTTTGAGTAAAATATGCTGCTGACAGCATTAACTCTCACGCTGAAGGTATCCATATCCATATTCCAATTCACTCCTACAATAAACCAGCGTGTCACTCCGGGGCTAGAAAGGACTCCTCGTGGGTAGAAGTGAGACTCTAGCAGCTCTAATGAAACAGCAGTGTCTGATGCCCCAGGAAAGAGAGCAGTCTGAATTTTCCATGGATGAGAAGGTGTGGACAAAGGTGGGCCTGGGGTCACTCGAAATGGGAGCAGTTAATGCAGCTGTGCCTGATGATGCACACCTTAGGCCTGGAGTTTGACTCAAGGCATGCATTATGTATTTGAACAATCTTGTATTTTAGTCAGCTTCCATTTCATGTTGTGGCTCACAAACCTGGTCCCAGCAGTTGAAAAGTCTACAGATCACAGCCAGTGAATGATAAAACAGACAAAAAAATGGCAAAAGAAAAATGGCAAAAAAAACCCCCATCAGAGACGGTCCAAAAAGACTAGAAAAGAAAAAAACAAGCAGTGTGACAAGATACCTGAGACATGCAAAATCAACACTGGCTCAGTTTCTCTCAGCAGAATTTGGAAAAGTACGTCAAATGAGACAAGAAACGCCCCTGCCGGGCCGTGACGCAGCTTTTAATATAATTGCAAATTACTGTAGGGATGCCATTCAAGCCCAGAGGTGGAGAATGAGTCACTCACGGCTTACTACCATGTTGCTATTAGCCTTCTGACCCTGCAGGTCAGGTGGGAGAACTCTTTCACACACACACACTGCGACACTTTCAGTCTCCTTTCCTTTTCCTCTCTTAGATGACGTCGCTTTAATGTGTTTCTTTCTCTGAAACACACACACACAGCATCTTGTTTGCTTATTTATTCATATATTCAAACCTGCTTGTATGCTTTTATGTGATAATGTTGCCCCAGAGGCCCGATTATACAGGCCTGTTAAAAGAGACTTCCTCCTCAATATACATGCCACACATAGACTGTAAACTGTCTATGTGTAAATGTTACCACGAAACACACATAAATTATACAGTTGTTCATGTGTGAATGCTCTAATGAAACCATTGCCTAAATCTGATATAGGACACTGTGAAACAATTGCGAGGTTTATTTGTAAGTCAATAAGAAAAGGGGGCAAAATATGGAAAAGCTTAAACCTTGTGGCATCAGTGTGACTCCAATCAGCTTTGTTTTGACCGTATTAAAGTTTCTATAAGCACAGACAAGTATAAGAATGATTATGACAGTTATTTTATATCAAGGTTGCTGTTTTCTCCTATTGTAGCAGCTCCTGGTGCATAATTAAAGTCTATCAGTGACAGAAACACCCACAGTGCTGCTCTCTCTGCACTGCTGGATTCATCATCCATCCTCCTCCACTAAAGGTTAGAGCGATGATACTGAACCTGTATTGAAAGATTCACAGGTCTGAGTGATAAAACAGCATGTACATTATATTCTTGTGGTGCTAGAACAGAGACATCGGATGAGAATCAATTTCAGTGCATTCGATTTCTAAGCACAAGCGCTGCAGTCCAAAAACGGCAAACTAAACAAACAAGCAAAGAGAAGGCACAGTTAAAAGTGTCTCTTTGTTACAACGTTAATATCGCGTGGTGGGATACTGATGCTGGTGTAACCCTTTTATTTCCATTTTTTTTAAAGCTGCCTTGATTTTTTCCCCCCCTAAAGGCAATCGATACCAAGTGGATAACAGCAACTTCCGTTCAGAGAGCGTCTGTTCAGTGGAGGTGGACTACAAAAGAGCTTGCTCACACTGACAGTAAAGTAGAGGGAATTAGTCTGTGTCACATAAGAGTGAAAAATAATGAATAATTTTTAGTTTTGTTCTCATTATTGTTGGAGAAGTTTTACTAACTGACAGGATTCAGCTAGCAAAACACTTTAAAATGCTAAACTCTGCAGCGTGGCTATGCCCACCACACTGACATCCACTCAGATCTCAGTGTCAACTTTAGCCTTCTTAAGGCCACGTTTACAAAACGGAGAAAAGTAGCACGTGAGCGCAAATAGTGCTCACAGGCGTGGTAAATTTTATGAGTGATGGGCAAATGTTGTTTTCCAAACACAGACGCAGTCAATTTATTTTAATGTGAAGTGCAATAAAATAAGACATGCTTCTGTCAACATTAAATATTGGTGCAGTAAAACGGGTGTCGCAAGCGTTTGTAAATCAGCTTTCACGCTTGATTTAAACATTCGCCTCGCTATATTGTGCGCCTTAAGAAAGGAACTTGCAGATATACATATAGGTCATTCCATCCTAATTTTTAGAGCATTTCTAGCTTCACCATCTTCGATTCACATAAGGCAATGTTTGAGCATCGATGTCTCAAAGCCCAAAATTTTCCCTGGTCCATCACGATGAACAGGTTCTGTAACTTAGACAGATATATCAAAATATGTAGGACAAGTGTTACCAGAAAAGCCAAAATATCAGTAGATACTCTAATCCAAATAGAAGAAGGGTCTGGAGCTTTCAGATGGTACTCTAACTGTACCATAATATTAAATATGTGTATATTGTTATTGGGGTTTTCTCTCTATTACTGTTGGGTATAAGCATCTTGAGACGACTGTTATTGTGATTTAATGCTATATAAATAAACCTGAAATGAAATGAACTGAAATTAACATTTCAAGGTTTTTGTTTTTAATAGTCTTTGAGATTTTTAAGTTCATGTGCAAAAGAAAAGGCCATCACAACCACAATCCAATTGCAGACTGGCTCAGTCATATTGCCACTTTATCGCTGCCTTCATGCACCAAAGTTGTGAGTGACTGTGTAGTAACTGTGAGTGGTGACAGATCTGGTCCCTGTCTTTGAAGCAAATGTGATTTGGCTGTTCACTGAACACAATATGCAATAATGTTAGTGGTGCCATAGTCTCCAATCAGCATAGTGGGAAGAGGACTGTTTGTATAGATGGACAGATGAATGGA